AGGGGAAAAGCAAACACAGTAGGCTCCAGAGTCACTAGAAAGCCAGGACTCCAGGCAGACCCCACTAACTAGCCAGTGAGCTCACAGACCTCACAGCACATGTGGAGCTCCCAGAAGGAGTTACACTGATAGCCAATGAGCTCTGAGTGTTCACTGCCATCCAGAAGCACAGCAAGGTGTTACAGCCCCACTCCCTTTGACAATGTGGCCCACATACAAGCAGCTTCACTACACACATACTACACCACCAAAGGGGGCATTGTCTGCAGCCCCGGTGTCACAATCCTGGATCTACCCATGGGCACTTGCTGCCCCAAAGCTTATCCAGCAGCTCTCCCAACTATACACTTGGTCCATTTAATATATAACAAAAAGTCCTTGCCTTGCTTCATTTTTGTTAATATAGTTTTTCAGATAATGAAGGCATTTGAAAAACACAATCCTTGATTCCAAGAGAGACTCATTTGTTCAATCTCTCTCTCTCTTCAAAGTGCAGGGGTGTAGCAGCGGAAGAACAGGCTTCCCTGGGATCTGAGTCAAGGAGTGGGAGTTTAGAAGCAGGCCAGCATCTGCTGATCTCAGGGTACAACTACGAGAGCACTGAGCAAAGAGCTTGAGAAGGTCACTTGGGTCAGAGCCATCCAAACTCTCATGTTCAAGCAGACTTGCACTAAAAACCAGCTCAGAGCGAGTCTAACACTTCAATAGACTTTAGATTGCCGACAGTTTTACATTCAGACAAACGTGTTAAGAATATGCTCAGCTCCCTTAAAGTGGGCCAAATATGCTCCAGGTTGCATAAAATATGTGACTGCATACATCTCTGTACTACTTAAAAGCTGACTAGATTTCAGATCATGAAGCATGCACTGTAAAGGACTAGAGGCACACTGAAAAATTAATTTTAAATTAAAAACTAATATTTAGTTTCAGTTTACTATTAAATATCGTTATATTAGATATTAATGTTTCATTCAAGTTAAAATTAGTGCCATTTCATTAATGGTAAATGATTCTGCGAACAATTAGAGTCGTAGAAAACAAATCCCTATTGAGCATGCATAGTAGCTAGTGTTAAGCACAGAAGTTAGCATTTGTCTAATAGTGCCCTAGCCCCTATCTAATGGGACATAGTTCCATCAGCCTGAAGTCCCTTCTGCAACATGACCACCTTTTTCCAGTTACAGTCATATTACAACCCCACTGATGTAAATGGGACTATTTATTTGCTTAAAATTGTACACTTGCTTTTTTTAAATACCTTGTTGAGTCAAGGCTAAAATTAAGAATTTATTGTTATAACAGTAGAGCTTTCAGACTGAACAGTCACTTCTGTAGGCCTCTATTTGTGAAGTCAAGCCGGTACTCAAATATGAGAAAGAAACCTTGAATGAACATTTACTGCCCACATCTGGAATGTTCTATTTAAACTGAGTCATGCTGCACTTTATTCAATTTTAACATCCTATGCCACAGGCTGTGCACATGCTGTACCGTCAGTCCTGAATATTAAAATAATGAGTCAGGCCACAAATAATTATGACACTTCAGAAACATATATTTGAAGTAATTTTTTATTTGCCTCCTAGTGTAGAAACTTTTATTGTTCATATTTTTGAGCTTTTTGGTGTGTGAGGGCTAGATTTTTTTTTAATATAGCTTAAATTCTGGTGTAATTACATGATTTCAGGGGATGAAGTGTTAAGAAAAAGATCATATATTATAAAATTCATGATAAAATTCTAAGAGTTGGCAACAGACTGAATAACAACAACAGCAGGAACACCAAGGAGAGGACAGCAGAAAAATCACAATCTAGCCTTAAAGATACCTATTGGCATTGGGCCTTCCCAGCTCATAGCACCTTTCAGATATGTTTATCTCTGCATTTGGAGTGTCTCATTTTAGATTACACAATGTTTTTCTCTTGCTGTAGGGCAGATGTTCAACTTCTCTTTCACCCCTGTTCTTTTCAGTATGCAAAATACACAGAACATCTGTAGTATATGGCATACATCCTGACTACAGTGATAGTCATTCCTAAAGTAAAATGAGCTCATTGCAGGAACTTTATAAGATATACTATCTGAGATATTCAAGGAATAAGGTACCCGATATCCAGTGAAAACCACTGGAAATAAATGGGATTTCATTTCCCTAAATGCCTCTGAAAAATTTGGTAGGAGAAACCAAACAACAACTGCATACCAAAATGAATGCACAATAAAAATCTATCAAAGACAAAAATACCCAATTACCTGTGGATGCACACTTCTTACAAGACATCCAATCTCTCTCCAGTCTATCAGTTCTAATCCTCAAAGGGAATTTACAAAACACCTTTCGTAGATGAGCCTACAAACTTCCCTTCATAAATCTAATGGATACAAAAAATCATGGACTAAATATAGACATTAAATTTATGGCACATTATAACCTGCCTGACATCCGAAAACCCCAGGTAACCTCTCTCTGTTTTACCAGCTACATTCTATCACCAGGTCAACATGCCCCCCTTTCCTATCCCCCCACCTACTTGCCTCACACCTATTGTCTCCCATGGCCTCTGATCCTCATTGCCACGCATCTGCATTTTCACAGACCTACATTTTGTACATTGGCTTCTATTCCATCCAGGCGAACACAAAACAACAGCAGACTCTCCCTATACTTGAAGAAGGGTGTTTGTGCCCAAAAGCTTGCAGAGAACAATTTTTCTAACTATTTAGTTGGTCTAATAAACGATAGCACATTTACCCAAAGAACCTTGTCTGAAAATAGCCTATATGATTCTAGGAAATAAAAGTATTTATATTTTTACAGGAAATATATAGCATAAAATACAAATAAAAAGCAATTGCACAAGAACTGATATTTTTTTAACTAGCTTTGTTACAAAATGGCTAGACTGAGCCACAAAGTTAATCCCAGAGGAATGGACACTACATAGCAATACCAGCCCAGAAGTAGCTCAGGGAAGGCATTGCAAAGACCCCTGTCCCCTTTACACAGTGGCTACCTGTTACCTCTTGTTTTACCAATCTTCCTCCCTATCTTTACCTCCATTCTCCTTAAGAGCTCCTCAGCTCTAGTTGAAGTCATACTTCATATAGAGCAAATAATTAGTAGTTTAGTTGCTTTCAGTCACGCAGAGTCCAATTCTCAACTGACCTATGTCAGCACTGCTTCTCCACTGACTTCAAAGGAGCAAAACCAATTTACCCCCGCTGAGAAACTGGGCCATGTCATATATACATTAAGTGAAATTTTCAGTCTCCTGTATCATCCAAATCAAAGCCATTTTCAACCAAACTTTTGAAGACCTTTTGTCTTGGTGAGGACAGTGTTTGCCTGCTGCTGTTTCAACTTTTTGTTTCAAGCTCTTCTAACTATAAAGCTATGGGGGTTTTTTATTGCAAGAATTCCCTGACCCCAGATGCAAAATGGAACAAAGGATTTCTATATACTTTTTGAAAAAAGTGTAGTCACTTTTGGGCAGAGAATTACCATTCTGATCATTCTGAAAAAGGTTTGGAAAATGACAGCAAAGTGAGCAAAAGGAATTGGAAGAGAAGTATTTATCACGCATACACAGGGGTTGTCTGACATGTCCCTTTGTGAAATCCTTTTTTCAGTTGCTTATAACTTTGTCAGTCTATTTGGGCTGGATTTTTTGGTACTTAGTACCTGGTTCAGACTTCATTTTTTCTTTTCTTTTTTTTTTTCCTTTTTGAAATTTTGGCCAAATGATTTAGTCATGTCCAAGAACCAAGTTAACAAAGAAAAGTTCTTCTGCTCATGTTAAAAAAATCTGGCAGATATTTTGGGGGCAGCTCTTTTTATTGGCATGCCACCTGCCCATGCTTTGGAGCAGGGATTTGACATTTAGGATGGAGCTACCATTTCTCCTTTGCATTTTCCATAAAAATCCATGTAAAATTTGGTAAAATAATAAGCCTTTAATAATTATAGTTTGCACACAATTAGAGATGTGAAGTCCCAGGAAAAAAAAAAAAAAGAAAAATTCAGGGGGAAAAATGGGTTTTTTCCATTTTTTTTCTGAGGACTTTTTTGGGTTTTTTTCCAAAAAATTGGAAAAATTGAAAATGTTTCAAAAAATTAATAAAACCTCTCATGAAATATTTTATTTTAGAATGATGAATAAAATGCTTGAGACAACGTGTTCATATATTGCTACCCTTGACTCCTCAAAAATGTTTTCTAATAACTATGTAATAGGGAGACCTTTATGTAAGACTATCTACAGTATCAGATCATTACAATTCCTATACACAGAGGACAAGCAGTACGGTACAACTCTCAAATGCAAGAGCAAGATGCATTTCTGCCCCCAGGGGACACTGCCATTTTCACAAGCGAAGGAAGAAGGATTTAGTGCCTTCTTTGCTTGTGGACTTCCTCTATTGTTGACTTTTGATCCAGAGGTTGGTGGATCTGCTGCTGTCCTCCTGACTAGGCCTCAAAGGACTGGGATTAGACCCTGGCAGCAGCATCCATTCATTCCTGTAGAGATTAGAAACAAGGAACTTATGGCCCTGATTGCTCAAAAGCCTCAGGAGAGGAGACAGAGCAAGTCTAAAGGTTTTGGAGTTGGAAGGAACCTGCCTCCTCTTGGCCCTGTGACCTTGAGATCCACAGAAGTACAGAAGCAGCACAAAGGAGCTGAAAGAAAATATACTTCTTTATTGAAAGGTAAGAGTTTAAATTTCTCTGAATTCAGCATATTAAACTATACTTATGCTGCATTAGTATATTTCCATAACCTATGCAATTCATAATTGAATTCCTACTAATCTGATGTTTTGTGACAAATCACCCAACCTTAGCAGTGAGGTGAGGTCCGCAGGGCAGGAAAGTTGTTCACAGTTAACTCTGAGGAGGCCTCTCCACCATCCATTACTAAATTTGTACGTGCTGTAGCTTAGTGTTTATATATGCAAGCTAGCCACTAAAATACATTTTTCTTTTTTCTCCATCAGTAAAATGGTGCAACCAACTTCTAGCATATAGAAGCATTTCCACACTACAAGTTATTCTGAGAAAAAAATGTGATTTGCAAATACAGTCAAATGAAATATGCATTTCCAAATGCTCCTAGGATGACCAAACACATCCTTGTCTATCAGAAGTGTCCTGCAGACATTAAAAAATCCTTCATGGGTATAAGTGAGGAGGAGGTAGATTGTGACGATGAAAGTGCAAGTAGCTGTTTCCAGCATCCTCGATCCAGAAGTCCTACTGCTGCTGCTGCTGCTGCTTCTATAACATCAGTATTACAAAGGGTTGCCCAATCAACATCCTTAAGTAACCAAATATTGCAACCAACTGTAAGCAAAAGACTCTCAATAGCCTCATTTGTAGACAAGATGACACCTGAAGATCAGGAAAAAATTGATCAAGCTCTTGAAAGAGCAATATATTCTTCTGGGATGCCATTGTCAATGACTGAAAATGCATACTGACAGGAAGCTTTTAAATTACTAAGACCATCATACCATTTGCCCAGCAGACATTCTTTGAGCAAGGCTCTTTTATAGTCAGAATATGAACGTGCAATGCAATCTGTTCAAGGAAAAATCAATAAAGCACCATGTCTTACAGTACTTACAGATGGATGGACAAATGTTCAGGGATAAGGAATCATAAAATTGTGATAATAACACCTCAACCATTTTTTTACAGAAGCATTGAAATAGGAGAGAACAGGCATACTGCAGACTATATCAGTAGTAAAATATGTGAAGTCCTACAGAAGATTGGGAGTGGTAAAGTACTTGCTTCGGTCACTGACAATGCAAGTAACATGAAAGCAGCATGGGAGATCATAATGGATAAATATCCACATATTACTGCAACAGGATGTGCATCCCATAGGCTAAACTTGCTTCTTAATGACATCTTGAAGTTGGACACTCTGCAAAAGATCTATAGAAGAGCAAAGAAGTTATAAAACATGTAAAAGCTACTCATATTTTACCTGCAGTCTTTAAGAAGAAGCAGGAAGAAAAGAATGCAAAGAATAAAATAGTGACACAAACTCTAGTAAAACTAGTTGGGATGGAGTGGTGATCTCATTTGAAAGTTTAGTAAAAAACAAATAAACTCTTCAAGAAACAGTAATAATTGATGATCTTAAAGTACCCAGAAGTGTAAGGGACACTGTAATTGGTGAAGATGTCTTCTGGGTTCAGCTGCAGAACTCCCTGAAGATTCTTAAAGCCAATTTCTTCAGCAATCACTGCATCTGAATCAGACAGTGCACTTTGTCAGACATTCCTTACCAAATGTCCCAGATAAAATCAACTGTTTTTGAGAATCTAAGTGTATTTCTGCTTACAAGTACAGAAGAAAGAAAAATGAAAGACTTTATTAACAAACAGGAAGATTTTTGTTGCCAATCAGTTCATGCTTTTGCAAATCTTTTGGATCCAACATTCAAAGGCAGAAATGTTAGTGATGATAGCACTGCTACTGGATTTGACTGGATTACAAAACAAGCAACACACTTAGGACTTGATGTTGGAAAGGTACTTTTAAATGTTGCAGAATACAGAACATCTTGAGGCATTTGGTCCAAGAATGCAGTCTGGTACTCTGCCAAGCATATCCCTCCTGCAACATGGTAGCAAGGCCTTTGCACGACACAGTCTCAACTCCTCTTGCTTCTCACCTGCTTCAGATTCCTCCATTTTCTGCGGCATGTGAAAAAAACTGGTCTGTTTGGAAATACTCACACCAAATCAAGAAATAAATGAACATGTGAAATAGTAGAGAAGCTTGTCTCAATCCGGGCAAACCTTCAGTTTTCAGAAGTCCATGAAGATGATAAAAATAAAGGATCAGAAGAATCAGAAGGAGCAGAAAATGCTGATAGTGATAGCTCAGCAAATGAGACTGATTAGAAAAAGTTTCATGTAGCAAAATTTGTATTCAATGAGTCATGTTTTTTTCCCTTTTTTTCTCAGCCCTTTTTCTAAAAATGAGTGCTTTCTGTATCTGCTTGACACTGTGGAAGAGACCAAGTCCAGAATACATAATAACTTTCTTTGTTTTACTATAATGTTGATTTTTTTTTCTATTTTCAACTTAAATTTTTTCCTGCTTCTCATAAACTGGCAAAAACTAAGAGATGCTAGGTTTCTTAGAGTTCAGCAGCTTGTAGCTCCATTTGTAACAAAAATTAAAAACATTTTAAAGTAAATTTAATTAGTAAATGTGTAATTATTGTCTGAATAAACTATACATTTAAATGTAATAAATATACCAAAAATGATAATTTTATGAGTAAACCAAGTTATACATAATACATTTTATATTCTTAAAGCAGCAAAGTGAATTTAGATCTGTAAAGGGTGCTAAGAAAATAAGTATTGCATATATTTCAATTTTTCCCAAAATTTCCATTTTTCCCCCCCAAAAATGTTTTTTCTCCATGGCTTCAAAATGTCCAAAATGTTTACATTTCTACATACACTTAGTGGGCTTGGATAATGGTGGCAGAACACTTAGTGTCTTGCTGTAGCTCCAGAGGTATGTGATTATGCCCTGCTCTAGACTCATGCTGAAATTGGCCCTCAGTTGCAAATGGGCAACTGTTTTTTCAGACTGGGGAGTCCAAAGTGTTTGGATGTGATGCTAGCTACAGCAATCCCTTGTCTGTTGTCAGCTGTAGAAAATACTGTGCATTAACTACACTAGCCTAGTAGGTTTAGACAGACCTTTGATGTGACACAATCAGCTGAGACATGCTAGAGCTTTACAACAAAAAATGTTCAAGGTTGTGTGCACCAGCCAGAGCATTCCTTCCAAATATTGCTCTGGGACAGACTGTATCTAAACAACTGAACAGAGAGCAGGACCTTATCTCACCTGTGTTCTCCATGCTCCCTTCCCCACTGGGCAAAGGTTGTGTGAAGGAGAAGCTATCTGACTTGACTGTATGTGGGACAAGAGTCAGAACTGAGAAAGTGGGGTGAAGTTGACTGAGACCAGGAGCCAGGAAGGAGTAGGTGATGAGAGATGTGACTGGAATTAATCTGGCAAGGGGAGAGGAAAGTTGGAGCTGTGATTTGGAGCTAGGTAAGACTGGAACTTAGAGGTGAGAAATTTAATAGATTTGTAGATATTAGGACCAGAGAGAACTATTAGATTATCTAGACTGATCACAGAGGAGATTGGAACTGCTGGTACAAAAAGCCTGGGCTGCAAAGAAAGAATGGGAAACAGGAAACAGGACTGGTTGTGGGAGAAGGCAAAGCTGGACAAGGATCTGACTGGAGAGGTGGGGAATGACTGGGTGAGGAGGTCAACATTGATAATCAAATTGGGGGCGGGGGAAAGGGAGAAGGGCCACAGATCTGAGGCTACAATGGAGAACTAGAGTTGACTAGGCAAACTGGAATAAAGGTGCCATGGAGTGGCAGAAACTGAAAATGGGTGGGCAAGAAAACCAGATTAGAATTGAAAAGAAGATTGGGAGCATACATTTACATATTTTAATGTATACAACTGATACTGAAGATAGCTAAATACAGGCAGATGTAAGCTGGCATTACAATGTATGGTGATGACTTGGAAATATAATTTCCCCATGCTCTTGTAGTAAGGCTCTATACTTCTAGGAGAGGGAGACCCAGAGTCAGTTTATGTTGCTGGTGTTTCCTGTCCTTTGGGGGTTGTACTGACTAGTGAACTGAGACCAGTTAAGATGAGCTTTGAGACTCCAAATGGAGGATTTCTCCAATTCTGCTTAGCAGAAGGTCCTAGAGAGCACCCACAAAGCAAGAACCACAGGGGAGGGTCGGGGCCCTGCCATGTTTGGGATACAAGGAGTTCTTTGAAACCTTCACTGAGGTGTCTAAAGCAACCAGATTGCATAGATTTCTGCAGTCCTGGCTGTACCTCCAGCTGGAGGAAGTTTAAGTTTTGTGAGGTGTATATCAAAGCAGCCTAAGAGAGCAGTGCAGCCATCTAATGGGAGAGAGGCTAAGTCCTGAAATCATACCAAGGTAGCCCAGCAACACAGTGGGCTAGGAGTTGGTTCCAAAACCATCCTCTCATACACATGCACAAGCACCTGGAGAGAAACAAATGGGTAGGTCAAGAATAGATAAGAGATGTATAAATGGATTTCCTCAATAAACCTCCAGCTCTCCCTCTCAAACACGAACTCCAGCCCTTGAAGCATGATTTTCAGATTGGTCCGAGTTTCTAATTTGTTACAAATTCTGGAATTAAGAAGATTCACGTTTCATTGTGATGACTTCATGCAGCCCTATGTCCTTTGTACAGTATCTCTGCTGAGGACACACCTCACACACACACTTATAAAGCAGCCAAGAGTCAATGAAAGAAAAAGCCTGGCAGCAGTTAAGTTTTCCTGGTTGAATCCTATCTCCTGTCCACAGGTTTGGGATTTTTGTCTCACTTGAAATTATGGCCACTTTATCAAGTCTCCCTGCACGGGCTTCTTGTTTATAATGAGCTTGTTGATTCTTTCTGGGTAGGTCAGTGTGAACTCAACAAGACATGCCAGCAAAGTGCACTACAGACCACAGGTGGCATTTGCCCAAAACAATGAACAAAATTCTTTTATTAGGTATGAATGTATTCTTTTATTTAGGTATTAATGTATTCTTTTATTTAGGTATTAATGTATTAATACGGTCTCAACCCTCCAGTAACTAAGCATTTTGCCACCTTCAGTATATTTCTTCTCACAACAGGGGAAGGGAATGCTATTATCCTCATTTTAGAGAGCAGGAACTGAAGGCAGGGAGACATACCCAAGAGCCCACAAGAAGCTTGAGGAAGAATACAGAACCAAATCTTAGGCCTTGTGGTTAAGTACAAAAAGTCAAAGAGCCTGAGGCTGAATTGATTCAGTCTTTGCTGGTTAGTCTAAGCTGCAAAGATTGAACCAATAAGCAAATGAACAGACATTCACTTTTGATTCAGGAAATGTAGCCAGGTGCCTGCAGTGACTCAAGCCAGATGCTGGAGGGCACTAGAACATGACTCTGGCATATAGACAGCATGAGCTATGTGTTCACTTCCTCTTCCTTCTGCCTCCAAGGTCTCTGGGATTTGCAGCCCACAAACACAGCTGCAGGACTCTGCGGGGTTGCTTATCACTTCCTCTTCCTGCTTCCAAGTGTCCCTGGGATTTGTAATCCACAGTCGCAGCCAGCAGTAAGCCACAGCCAGCAGGGCAGCTCCATACTTGGGGGAAGGGGAGTTTAAACCCTCCCCACCAGCCCTAGACCCCAGCCAGGGTTTGCCTGGTGAAGGGAGGTAGTAAGCCAGCCAATGAGGCCATTGAGCCAGCCCGCACTGCTACAGCTAGGGAACAGAGGGGCAGGGTCTGCCCTGCTCTCTGGATCAGACAACATAGCTCAGTCCAGGGCTGCAAAACATACTGGGATGCCTGGGGGCTCTGACTTAACTTCAGCCAGGAAGGGGTTTGGGACAGAAGTTTCATAAACCAGTTTGACCTCAATCAGTTAAGTCTGATTCAACCAGGTTTATCTTAAACCAGTTTCAGGAATTTTGAAACTGGTTTATGTGCACCGAGCTTCTGTTCTGTTACAGGTTTAAACTAGTTTCTGATCACTTAAATCAGTTTATTTGTAACTTCTATCCCTAGCCTATAAGTCCAGGCTTGCAAAGCACTGGACTAGACTGTTTTCTCCACAAGTTTTACAGCATAAGCAGTGTCCCACTTCCTTTTTTTAGGCCCCAGGCTAGTCAAATGACACAATTTGCCGGAGGATAGTATAAAAGCTCATATGGGAATTGAGCATTTTAGCCTTCCTGAGAGATCCCTATTGAAACCTTGATGCCCCATCTCCCAGAACAAGCACGAAGCAACAGGCTGCATTGCCAGACCTGTGCATGGGAGGTCCACACACACACACACACTCTGCTGTGGTCAGTGTGTTTACTGGGCATTTCCACCACAGAGCTTTGAAACTGTACTCTACTGAAAAACTCAAGTGTGTATTTATTTCAAAATGTAATCCTCAGTCTATCACTCTTATTGCAATAATCAGATGATCTTTTTATCCATGAGCCAAATCACACTCCTTCCTCTGCACAGAAACCCATAGGAGTTCTCCACAATTCACTCTGTCACGTGGGTGGGAATTCCCCTTGTGGAATGAGCCAACCTACTAAGTATCTGTGTTTCTGCTCTGGATTTGAGGCCCCCTGGCCCTCTCCTATTCTCTGGAGTATGACTGTACAAGCAGCAATTCCCTCTGCCTCTGGAACCCTTCTCAGAGGACTGGTCAATGTGCAACAATGGTAATATGGACTCAGCTTTCCCAAAACGACTCCAGAGAGATTGCTGAGAAGGACTGTGCTGCCACACTATTGGAGATGCTGTTCTGCAGGTCTCTTATTTTGGCAAAACCACAGTTATACTTGAAGCAGGCTAACAAAGTACTAACTCAGGCTCCTGCTAGTATGAAAGAGCAGCTAAACACAATGAACCACTTTCTTCCCCACTAGTACCTCAAATTGCCCTGATCCCTGGGCAGTGATACACATGAAACCCCACAAAGCAGGGAATCCCCTGCACAGTTACATACACACGTACAAGTCCACATCCTTTGCACTAGAATTCCACCAGCACCAGGGAAAGGATGTTTTCACGCCTGAAGGAAGTGAACATGCTGGGTTGCTGCCAGGTTCCAGAGTCCCACAGCTGTGAGGTGACACTGCCAGTGGAGAGAGTCCTGACAGCTGTGGGACTCTGTCCTGGAAACTGGGAGGAAGAGTCCTGTCAGCTGACAGGGTTCCCAGCCACAGGGGGAGACGAGGAAATTAAAGTGGGACAGAAACCAGCTATAAAGGTATTGCACATTTTCCAGCTCTAAGTTTATAACTGGTTGGACCTTCAATGGTCTGATTGTTAAGTTGCACATGTAGCTGGTCTAAATGAATTCTGCAATTAACCTGGTAACTGCATGATACATGTAACATGTAGAGAGGACCTTAGGTATGCCAGTTTTGAACCACAATGCCAGGATTTAAGAGCTTCCAGGAAGTGGAGGGGTAAAACAATAAAGTAAAAGGTGTGGCAGCAAAGAAGAGAGACAAAGGCAGGCAGATCCTTGTCAGTGATTCTGCCATGCACCAGGAGAATGTTCACATTCC